CTACATCAAGACTTTGCTATACCAAACATAACTACATCAAGACTTTGCTATACCAAACATAACTACACCAAGACTTTGCTATACCAAACATAACTACATCAAGACTTTGCTATAACAAACATAACTACATCAAGACTTTGCTATAACAAACATAACTACATCAAGACTTTGCTATACCAAACATAACTACATCAAGACTTTGCTATACCAAACATAACTACATCAAGACTTTGCTATAACAAACATAACTACATCAAGACTTTGCTATACCAAACATAACTACACCAAGACTTTGCTATAACAAACATAACTACATCAAGACTTTGCTATACCAAACATAACTACATCAAGACTTTGCTATACCAAACATAACTACACCAAGACTTTGTTTATACCAAACATAACTACACCAAGACTTTGCTATACCAAACATAACTACATCAAGACTTTGTTATACCAAACATAACTACACCAAGACTTTGCTATACCAAACATAACTACATCAAGACTTTGCTATACCAAACATAACTACATCAAGACTTTGCTATACCAAACATAACTACATCAAGACTTTGCTATACCAAACATAACTACATCAAGACTTTGCTATACCAAACATAACTACATCAAGACTTTGCTATACCAAACATAACTACATCAAGACTTTGCTATACCAAACATAACTACACCAAGACTTTGCTATACCAAACATAACTACATCAAGACTTTGCTATACCAAACATAACTACATCAAGACTTTGCTATACCAAACATAACTACATCAAGACTTTGCTATACCAAACATAACTACACCAAGACTTTGTTATACCAAACATAACTACACCAAGACTTTGCTATACCAAACATAACTACATCAAGACTTTGTTATACCAAACATAACTACACCAAGACTTTGCTATACCAAACATAACTACATCAAGACTTTGCTATACCAAACATAACTACACCAAGACTTTGTTATACCAAACATAACTACACCAAGACTTTGCTATACCAAACATAACTACATCAAGACTTTGCTATACCAAACATAACTACATCAAGACTTTGCTATACCAAACATAACTACATCAAGACTTTGTTATACCAAACATAACTACACCAAGACTTTGCTATACCAAACATAACTACACCAAGACTTTGCTATACCAAACATAACTACATCAAGACTTTGCTATACCAAACATAACTACATCAAGACTTTGCTATACCAAACATAACTACATCAAGACTTTGCTATACCAAACATAACTACATCAAGACTTTGCTATACCAAACATAACTACATCAAGACTTTGCTATACCAAACATAACTACATCAAGACTTTGCTATACCAAACATAACTACACCAAGACTTTGCTATACCAAACATAACTACATCAAGACTTTGCTATACCAAACATAACTACATCAAGACTTTGTTATACCAAACATAACTACACCAAGACTTTGCTATACCAAACATAACTACATCAAGACTTTGTTATACCAAACATAACTACATCAAGACTGCTATACCAAACATAACTACATCAAGACTTTGTTATACCAAACATAACTACACCAAGACTTTGCTATACCAAACATAACTACATCAAGACTTTGCTATACCAAACATAACTACATCAAGACTTTGCTATACCAAACATAACTACATCAAGACTTTGTTATACCAAACATAACTATGCCAACACTTCACTATACCAAACATAACTAACTCCTCCAACTAATTCCTATTTCTTCGCCATTTTTTATAACCTTCTCATAATATGAAACGATAGAACCAGTTTAAAAGTACTTAATAAATCCCAATTAAGATCACTGAACCAGTTTGAAATACAGTGGACCCCCGGCATTCAATGGCATCGGTATACATTAAATCCGGTATTCGATACATTTTAACGCAAAAATTTTGCCTCGCCACTCGTTAAAAAAACCCGCCACACGTGATTTGTCCGGGATGCGTCCATGTGAGGCCTGAACTGCCCCGTGCGTGCCAGTGTTTACAAGCCAGCCAGTGTGCGCGCATCTATGGATACATTCGGTACATTCTATATTATCCATATTATCACTGTTTCTGGTGCTTGTTTCTGCAAAATAAGTCACCATGGGCCCCAAGAAAGCTTCTAGTGTCAACCCTGTGGTAAAAAGGGTGAGAATTAGTATGGAAATTAAGAAAGATTTTGAAGGGTTTGGGGCTAACCCTGAGAAGCCTATGCTAGTTGTGGAATCCATTGTGTCTACTTCAAAAATTAAGGAAATGTGTGCACAGTGGGTTGAACTGCAAACCTTTATGGATGAAAATCACCCTAACACAGCTATTGCAAGCCGTGCTGGTGACTATTACAATGACAATGTTATGGCCCATTTTAGACAAATCTTAAAGGAACGGGAGGTACAGAGCTCTATGGACAGATTTGTTGTGCGACAGAGGTCCAGTGACTCTCAAGCTGGTCCTAGTGGCATTAAAAGAAGAAGGGAAGTAACCCCAGAAAAGGACTTGCTACCTCAAGTCCTAATGGAAGGGGATTCCCCTTCTAAACAAGTTCGACACTCCCCTCCTCCCATCCCATCAATCATCACCAGATCTTCATTAAAGGTAAGTGTCAATTATTCTGTTATTATTCTATTGTTATTATTGTTATTGTAATTCTTATATTGCATTAAACTTAATATTTCACGTGGTAAAAGTTTTTTTTTTCATATTTTGTGTGTCTTGCACGGATTAATTTGATTTCCATTATTTCTTATGAGGAAAATTGATTCGCTTTCCAATAATTTTGGCAAACGATGAGCTCTCAGGAACGGATTAATATCGTATACCAGGGGTCCACTGTATTAATACACACTTAAAATTGTACCAATGTAAACTGTACCAATTGTTACAATTTTACCACCTCTCTCTTTTTTTGTAATATTGCGTAATTAAAATTGACCCCTTAAGAAGCTACGTCTAGGCTTAAGTGGTGTGTAAATATTAGTCGGGTTGAAATGCTCAGCATGTTAGTGGTTTTATGCTTAACTAACATTCTGTAAGATGTCGACTACAGTAAGTCCATGACTTATAAAAACGCTGAGAATCTTCTGTATCGTGTATGTATATCACTATTGCATATTTCATTAAACCATACCCCCGGCCGGGATTGAACCCGCGGTCATAGAGTCTCAAAACTCCAGCCCGTCGCGCTAGCCACTAGACCAGCTAGCCACAATAAGATTCATCCAACTAGGTATATTTCTACACCATAGGAAAGTTAGCACAGGCACCTCTGTGACCACAAATGCAAGTTTTTACAGACGAATCTCCAGCTAGTCGTGGCCGTGACGAACTCTAGCTCAAGTCCTTCACTGCCGTCAACATGACTTAAGAAATCGTAATGACACGATTGCAAATAAACCATACCCCCGGCCGGGATTGAACCCGCGGTCATAGAGTCTCAAAACTCCAGCCCGTCGCGCTAGCCACTAGACCAGCTAGCCACAATAAGATTCATCCAACTAGGTATATTTCTACACCATAGGGAAAATTTTGCACAGGCACCTCTGTGACCACAAATGCAAGTTTTTACAGACGAATCTCCAGCTAGCGTGGCCGTGACGAACTCTACTCAAGTCCCTTCACTGCCGTCAACATGACTTAAGAAATCGTAATGACACGATTGCAAATAAACCATACCCCCGGCCGGGATTGAACCCGCGTCATAGAGTCTCAAAACTCCAGCCCGTCGCGCTAGCCACTAGACCAGCTAGCCACAATAAGATTCATCCAACTAGGTATATTTCTACACCATAGGAAAGTTAGCACAGGCACCTCTGTGACCACAAATGCAAGTTTTTTACAGACGAATCTCCAGCTAGCGTGGCCGTGACGAACTCTAGCTCAAGTCCCTTCACTGCCGTCAACATGACTTAAGAAATCGTAATGACACGATTGCAAATAACCATACCCCGCCGGGATTGAAACCCGCGGTCATAGATCTCAAACTCCAGCCCGTCGCGCTAGCCACTAGACCAGCTAGCCACAATAAGATTCATCCAACTAGGTATATTTCTACACCATAGGAAAGTTAGCACAGGGACCTCTGTGACCACAAATGCAAGTTTTTACAGACGAATCTCCAGCTAGCGTGGCCGTGACGAACTCTAGCTCAAGTCCCTTCACTGCCGTCAACATGACTTAAGAAATCGTAATGACACGATTGCAAATAAACCATACCCCCGGCCGGGATTGAACCCGCGGTCATAGAGTCTCAAAACTCCAGCCCGTCGCGCTAGCCACTAGACCAGCTAGCCACAATAAGATTCATCCAACTAGGTATATTTCTACACCACCTCATGTTGACGGCAGTGAAGGGACTTGAGCTAGAGTTCGTCACGGCCACGCTAGCTGGAGATTCGTCTGTAAAAACTTGCTTTTTGTGGTCACAGAGTGCCTGTGCTAACTTTCCTATGGTGTAGAAAATACCTAGTTGGATGAATCTTATTGTGGCTAGCTGGTCTAGTGGCTAGCGCGACGGGCTGGAGTTTGAGACTCTATGCCCGCGGTTCAATCCCGGCCGGGGGTATGGTTTATTTGCAATCGTGTCATTACGATTTCTTAAGTCATGTTGACGGCAGTGAAGGGACTTGAGCTAGAGTTCGTCACGGCCACGCTAGCTGGAGATTCGTCTGTAAAAACTTGCATTTGTGGTCACAGAGGTGCCTGTGCTAACTTTCCTATGGTGTAGAAATATACCTAGTTGGATGAATCTTATTGTGGCTAGCTGGTCTAGTGGCTAGCGCGACGGGCTGGAGTTTTGAGACTCTATGACCGCGGGTTCAATCCCGGCCGGGGGTATGGTTTATTTGCAATCGTGTCATTACGATTTCTTAAGGCATATTTCATTATTGTGTATATCATTATTATACACAATTCAGGAGGCCCCAATGTGTTTGTAAGTCAAGGACTTACTGTATTGTATATAAATAATTGAATTACCGCAAAGTCTAGAGGTCCGGTGAGAGGAACTTCAGGCTTCGGTACTGGTGCTTGCACCTTCACAGTCGCTGGTGCCACCCTTAGAGAAGAGGATTTTTCAGACTCCGCTGACCTTTTCAGATCTCCCAGCCACGTTTCCATATCTTTAAGAAAGCTGTTAGTTAGACCTAGGACCTTATCTAATCGTCTAGACGAACTGGCTTCCACTGTCTGTGCTTCGTACTCTTCTAACTTGTCGATGCTAGCATCAAAGCGTTTTAAATTCTCCTCGATCTTTTTATTCTTTTCTCTGAGGGCTAGCATCTCTTTCTCTATCTCGGATTTCTTTTTCTCATAGATGGCTTTCTGGTCAGCAAGGCGGGAGATATTACCATTGGTGCAGTCGACGTACGCTTGCTTGATGTGTAGCAGTGCCTCTGGCAGGTTCATGAAGACGGTGCACTCCTTTGGGCACTTGCACTCCCGACACCTCCACACATTGCACTTCTGGCACCATGACATGATTGGGGCGCCATGCTGCAAGCATGTCTCCCCATCCTCGACCTGCACCCTGATGTGTGGCTCGGATGTGGCGCTGGAGAGCGCACGTGCCAGCCGCAGTATTGTGTAGCTGACAGGGATGTGGCCCACGGCGGAGATTTTCAGCGGCTTGCGGCACTCAGGGCAGAGCCTGTCATGGTGCGCCCGGTCTAAGAGTGCCTCTATACAGGGGGTACAGAGTGTGTGGCCGCACCTCAAAGTGCGGGGGCTGTGGCGCTCCTCCTCGAAGGGCTCCATACACACCGTACAATTAACTTCGTGTTCGTCCATGCTGACCTGAAATTAAAAAATAAATTTATTACCTAACCAAGAACTGTCGTTAGATTATTAATTAACCAATAACTTGCGTAAAATTATTAATTAACCAATAACTTTCGTAAAATGATTAATTAACCAATAACTGTCGTAAATTTATTAACCAATTAATTTCATAAAATTATTAATTAACCAAGGACTGTAATACAATTATTAATTAACCACGAACTGTCTTAAGATTATTAATAAACAAAGAAATGTCACAGAATTATTAATTAACCAAGGGCTGTCGTAAAATTATTAACTAATCAAAGACTGTCATAAAATTAAATAACCAATAACTGCTGTCAAATTATCAATTAACTGAGGATTGTAATATAATTATTAATTAAACAAGGACTGTCATAAAACAGATTATATAATTAATCAAGCTACAATGGACCACCGGTTTACGATATTATTTCATTCCAGAAGTATGTTCAGGTGCCAGTACTGACCGAATTTGTTCCCATAAGGAATATTGTGAAGTACATTAGTCCATTTCAGACCCCCAAACATACACGTACAAACGCACTTACATAATTGGTCGCATTGGGAGCTGATCGTGAACCGGGGGTCCACTGTACTGTAATTAGAATTAGTAATTAACCAAGAACTGTCATAACAATTAAGCCAAATGACTCGGTGGCCCAGTGGCCTGGTGGCTAAAGCTCCCGCTTCACACACGGAGGGCCCGGGTGGAAACATTCTGACACGTTTCCTTACACCTGTTGTCCTGTTCACCTAGCAGCAAATAGGTACCTGGGTGTTAGTGGACTGGTGTGGGTCGCATCCTGGGGGACAAGATTAAGGACCACAATGGAAATAAGTTAGACAGTCCTCGATGACGCACTGACTTTCTTGGGTTATCCTGGGTGGCTAACCCTCCGGGGTTAAAAATCCGAACAAAATCTTATGCTTATTCTTAATTCTGTCGTTCCGTAGATCAGAACCCTAAGCTGCAGAGTTCACGGCTTGACTTTCAAACCCTCGACTTAACAATACAGAGATGCTGGACATCCCCTTGTACCTGCTGGCTGTTAATCTTAGCAGTAAGTAGGAAAGTACCAAAGCTGGACCAGGACCACCAGCAGCAACAACTTGGTGGACCAGGTATCAGATAAACCTGGACAAGGACCAACAATCTAGTGGACCAAACCTGGACCAGGACCACCTAGTGGATCAGACAAACCTGGACCAGGACCAGATAGTGAATCAGACAAACCTGGACCAGGACCACCAGTAGACCAGACAAACCTGGACCAGGACCACCTAGTGGACCAGACAAACCTGGACCAGGAACACCTAGTGGACCAGACAAATCTGGACCAGGACCACCTAGTGAACCAGACAAACCTGGACCAGGACCACCTAGTGGAACAGACAAATCTGGACCAGGACCACCTAGTGGAACAGACAAATCTGGACCAGGACCACCTAGTGGACCAGACAAATCTGGACCAGGACCACCTAGTGGAAGACAAACCTGGACCAGGACCACCTAGTGGACCAGACAAACCTGGACCAGGACCACCTAGTGGACAAGACAAACCTGGACTGGGACCTAGTGGACCAGACAAACCTGGACCAGGACCACCTAGTGGACCAGACAAACCTGGACCAGGACCACCTAGTGGAACAGACAAACCTGGACCAGGACCACCTAGTGGACCAGATAAACCTGGACCAGGACCACCTAGTGGACCAGACAAACCTGGACCAGGACCACCTAGTGGAACAGATAAACCTGGACCAGGACCACCTAGTGGACCAAACCTGGACCAGGACCACCTAGTGGACCAGACAAACCTGGACCAGGACCACCTGGTGGACCAGACAAACCTGGACCAGGACCACCTAGTGGACCAGACAAACCTGGACCAGGACCACCTAGTGGACCAGACAAACCTGGATCAGGACCACCTAGTGGAAGACAAACCTGGACCAGGACCACCTAGTGGAAGACAAACCTGGACCAGGACCACCTAGTGGACCAGACAAATCTGGACCAGGACCACCTAGTGGAATAGACAAATCTGGACCAGGACCACCTAGTGGACCAGACAAACCTGGACCACCTAGTGGAACAGACAAACCTGGACCAGGACCACCTAGTGGAAGACAAACCTGGACCAGGACCACCTAGTGGACCAGACAAACCTGGACCAGGACCACCTAGTGGAACAGACAAACCTGGACCAGGACCACCTAGTGGAACAGACAAACCTGGACCAGGACCACCTAGTGGAAGACAAACCTGGACCAGGACCACCTAGTGGACCAGACAAACCTGGACCAGGACCACCTAGTGGAACAGACAAACCTGGACCAGGACCACCTAGTGGACCAGATAAACCTGGACCAGGACCACCTAGTGGACCAGACAAACCTGGACCAGGACCACCTAGTGGAACAGATAAACCTGGACCAGGACCACCTAGTGGACCAGACAAACCTGGACCAGGACCACCTAGTGGACCAGACAAACCTGGACCAGGACCACCTGGTGGACCAGACAAACCTGGACCAGGACCACCTAGTGGACCAGACAAACCTGGACCAGGACCACCTAGTGGACCAGACAAACCTGGATCAGGACCACCTAGTGGAAGACAAACCTGGACCAGGACCACCTAGTGGAAGACAAACCTGGACCAGGACCACCTAGTGGACCAGACAAATCTGGACCAGGACCACCTAGTGGACCAGACAAATCTGGACCAGGACCACCTAGTGGACCAGACAAACCTGGACCACCTAGTGGAACAGACAAACCTGGACCAGGACCACCTAGTGGAAGACAAACCTGGACCAGGACCACCTAGTGGACCAGACAAACCTGGACCAGGACCACCTAGTGGAACAGACAAACCTGGACCAGGACCACCTAGTGGAACAGACAAACCTGGACCAGGACCACCTAGTGGAAGACAAACCTGGACCACCTAGTGGAACAGACAAACCTGGACCAGGACCACCTAGTGGACGACAAACATGGACCAGGACCACCTAGTGGACCAGACAAACCTGGACCAGGACCACCTAGTGGAACAGAAAAACCTGGACCAGGACCACCTAGTGGAACAGACAAACCTGGACCAGGACCACCTAGAAGACAAACCTGGACCAGGACCACCTAGTGGACCAGACAAACCTGGACCAGGACCACCTAGTGGACCAGACAAATCTGGACCAGACAAATCTGGACCAGGACCACCTAGTGGACCAGACAAATCTGGACCAGGACCACCTAGTGGACCAGACAAACCTGGACCAGGACCACCTAGTGGACCAACCTGGACCAGGACCACCTAGTGGACCAGACAAACCTGGACCAGGACCACATAGTGGACCAGACAAATCTGGACCAGGACCACCTAGTGGACCAGACAAATCTGGACCAGGACCACCTAGTGGACCAGATAAACCTGGACCAGGACCACCTAGTGGACCAGACAAATCTGGACCAGGACCACCTAGTGGACCAAACCTGGACCAGGACCACCTAGTGGACCAGACAAACCTGGACCAGGACCACCTAGTGGACCAGACAAATCTGGACCAGGACCACCTAGTGGACCAGACAAATCTGGACCAGGACCACCTAGTGGACCAACCTGGACCAGGACCACCTAGTGGACCAGACAAACCTGGACCAGGACCACCTAGTGGACCAGACAAATCTGGACCAGGACCACCTAGTGGACCAAACCTGGACCAGGACCACCTAGTGGACCAGACAAACCTGGACCAGGACCACCTAGTGGACCAGACAAATCTGGACCAGGACCACAATAGTTCAAGACCTACAAATCACAAAATCCCTCAAAATACAAATTACCCCCTAATCCTATTTCATATATATTTCCCCTTAATTCAAACCCCCATTACTATAAAAAAAAACCACAACCTCATAACTAACCTCCAAAACTATCAAAATCAGCGTCAGCAGGGCTAAATAGGCGTTAAAATAGGCCTAAAATGGGAAAATTCCAATCGGTAGGCCCAACGTGTTGTTGTTGACAGAAATTTCTGAATGTAAACAATGTCTGGCAACTGTGGCAGAGTGCGCGCCAAATTTGATTTTCTTTTGTTTTGCGCGCCAAAATGTGCGCCTAGTTGTTACTGCTGCTATCACCACTACTGTTACTACTGTTATTACCACTACTGTTACTATTGTTATTACCACTACTGTTACTACTGTTATTACCACTACTGTTGTCACCACTACTCTACTATTATCACAACTACTGTTGTCACCATTACTGTTGTCACCACTAGTTACTACTGTTATTACCACTACTGTTGTCACCACTACTGTTGTCACCACTACTGTTATCACTACTGTTATCATTACTGTTATCACTACTGTTATCACTACTGTTATCATTGTTGCCACCACTACTGTTACTACTGTTATTACCACTACTGTTATTACCACTACTGTTGTCACCACTACTGTTGTCACCACTACTGTTATCACCACTACTGTTGTCACCACTACTGCTGTCACCACTACTGTTACTACTGTTATTACCACTACTGTTGTCACCACTACTGTTGTCACTACTGTTGTCACCACTATCATTACTGTTATCACTATTGTTGTCACCACTACTGTTGTCACTGTTGTCATCACTACTGTTGTCACCACTACTGTTGTCACCACTACTGTTGTCACCACTACTGTTATCACTATTGTCACCACTACTGTTATCACTGTTGTCATCACTACTGTTGTCACCACTACTGTTGTCACCACTACTGTTATCACTATTGTTGTCACCACTACTGTTGTCACCATTACTGTTATCACTACTGTTGTCACCACTACTGTTATCACCACTATCATTGCTGTTATCACTATTGTTGTCACCACTACTGTTACCACTGTTGTCATCACTACTATTGTCACCACTTATCACTACTGTTATCATCACTATCATCACTACTGTTGTCACCACTACTGTTATCATCACTACTGTTATCACTACTGTTGTCACTATTGTTGTCACAATTACTGTTATCACTACTGTTGTCACTACTGTTGTCACTACTGTTATCACTACTGTTATCACTACTGTTGTCACCACTACTGTTATCACTACTGTTGTCACCACTACTGTTGTCACCACTACTGTTGTCACCACTACTGTTATCACAACTACTGTTGTCACAACTACTGTTGTCACCACTACTGTTATCAGCACTACTGTTATCACCACTACTATTATCACCACTACTGTCACTACTGTTATCACAACTACTGTAGCTACTGTTATCACCACTACTGTAGCTGTTATCACCACTACTGTCACTACTATTATCACCACTACTGTCACTACTGTTATCACCACTACTGTTATCAGCACTACTGTTATCACCACTACTATTATCACCACTACTGTCACTACTGTTATCACCACTACTGTCACTACTGATATCACAACTACTGTCACTACTGTTATCACCACTACTGTCACTACTGTTATCACAACTACTGTAGCTACTGTTATCACCACTACTGTCACTACTGTTATCACAACTACTGTTACTACTATTATCACCACTACTGTCACTACTGTTATCACCACTACTGTCACTACTGTTATCACCACTACTGTCACTACTATTATCATCACTATTGTCACTACAATTATCACCACTATTGTCACTATTATCACCACTATTGTCACTACTATTATCACCACTACTGTCACTATCACCACTATTGTCACTGCTATTATGACCACTACTGCCACTACTATTATCACCACTATTGTCACTACTATTATCACCACTATTGTCACTACTATTATCACCACTACTGTCACTATTATCACCACTACTGTCACTACTATTATCACCACTACTGTCACTATTATCACAACTACTGTAACTAATATTATCACCACTACTCTTGGTACCACTACTGTAGCTACTGTTATCACCACTACTGTCACAACTATTATCACCACTGATTTAATACACCACTGCTATAATACACCACTAATATAATACACCACTGCTATAACACACCACTGCTATAATACACCACTAATATAATACACCACTGCTATAACACACCACTGCTATAATACACCACTAATATAATACACCACTGCTATAACACACCACTGCTATAATACACCACTAATATAATACACCACTACTATAACACACCACTGCTATAATACACCACTGCTATAATACACAATAACAATGTTACATACAATTCTCTTAATTCTAAAGTAACTATATATAGCCAACAAATATTTCAAGTCACATATTAAGTCTCGATAAATTAAATTGAAAACTTGTGCTAAGACTCTAGACTTTAGGACAAAGATATATAATAATAATGGTCTAGTACTCCTGGTCAATCTCTGGCGATAAGTCCAATAATGTCACCGACTTAGAGTTGGCTGAGTTGGCCTTCCAGACAGGAGACTGGACCTTCCACTTCGACTGTGACCCAGAGTTCGACTGTACTGGAAGTCAGTCACAGGATAACATGATAAAGGAGGAAGAGGAGGTGGCCGAGAAGGAAGAGAAGAACGGCAGACCTGGAAGGGACGTCCAGGAACCAGAAGATGTCCTCAGGCTGACCCAGAAGCGCAGTCTGGTGGATACTTTGGACTTTGAAAAGGACTGGAAAAAGCGGCGTCTCTGTGACAAACAAGAAGTCGTTTTCCAGTTTTCTTCCCTCCAGAAGCTGGACGAAACCTACGTAGACTGGAAACAAAAGCGTCGACGCAAGAAAAAACAACGAGGAGCTGAACCACGTCATGAACCACGAGAAGCTGCCAGAATTAACACAGAGGAAACACCAGCGCTGAGAGGAAGTGTGGAGAGTTGCAGTTCCAGGGAGCTGCAGGACGTTGTTTATGAGTGGCGCCCTGAACCACCCCAGGAACCATACCATGAACCACGTCCTCAACCACGGACTGAATCACGGACTGTTAGCCCCTGTCATAGAGACTATGACTCCCATTACAACAGACAGGAACGTCAAACAGATTATGACTCCCGTTACAACAGACAGGACCGTCAAACAGATTATAACTCCCGTTACAACAGACAGGACCGTCAAACAGATTATAACTCCCGTTACAACAGACAGGACCGTCAAACAGGTTATAACTCCCATTACAAGAGACAGGACCGTGAAACAGATTATAACTCCCGTTACAACAGACAAGACCGTCAAACATATTATAACTCCCGTTACAACAGACAGGACCGTCACACAGATTATGACTCCCATTACAACAGACAGGACCGTCACACAGATTATGACTCCCGTTACAACAGTCACAAAAAGCGTGACAGAAAACGTCATAGGGAAGTCAGCCCTTATTGAGGTGTTCCGTTGAACACCAACGACTGTAACTGAGTCGTGACTCTTCTCAAACCTGTTAAGAGAGAGAGAGAGAGAGAGAGAGAGTAGAGAGAGAGAGAGGAGAGAGAGAGAGAGAGAGAGAGAGAGAGAGAGAGAGAGAGAGAGAGAGAAGAGAGAAGTAGAGAGAGAGGGAGAGAGAGAGAGAGAGGAGAGAGTGGAGAGTAGAGAGAGAGCACCTTCCATCTCTCACTTTAGCCTCTCTATACGAGTTATTTTTATTTGTATATTATTATTATTATTATTATTATTATTATTATTATTATTAAAGCGAATTATGAGAATTAAAGATAATTTTTATTTTTCAGAGGAAGTTCAGATTATCTTAAATCACCATAGCCATCCTGTGGGTCAAGAACTGCACCTCAACATTACACAGATACATAATGGGTCCAGGGACTGTACCTCAACATTACACATCTTCAAATACATCTGGGTAAAGAGTACATGAGTACCTGGGTAGAGTACATGAGTGCCTGGGTTAGAGTACGAGTCCTGGTAGAGTACGAGTGCCTGGTAGAGTACATGAGTACCTGGGTAGAGTACATGAGTGCCTGGTAGAGTACATAGTGCCTGGGTAGAGTAATGTGCCTGGTAGAGTACATGAGTCCGGGTAGTACATGAGTACTGGGTAGAGTACATGAGTGCCTGGGTAGAGTACATGAGTGCCTGGGTAGAGTACATGAGTGCCTGGGTAGAGTACATGAGTGCCTGGGTAGAGTACATGAGTGCCTGGGTAGAGTACATGAGTATATAGTGTGGAGAGTCAGGTGGAGAATGTTGGGTACTACAAGAATGGTATACAATATACACTACAAGTATACACTACAAGAATGGTACACAATATACACTACAAGTATACACTACAAGAATGGTATACAATATACACTACAAGTATACACTACAAGAATGGTATACAATATACACTACAAGTATACACTACACGAACTGTCTTAAGATTATTAATAAACAAAGAAATGTCACAGAATTATTAATTAACCAAGGGCTGTCGTAAAATTTTAACTAATCAAAGACTGTCATAAAATTAAATAACCAATAACTGCTGTCAAATTATCAATTAACTTGGATTGTAAATAAAAATAATTATTATTAAACAAGGACTGTCATAAAAACAGGATATATAATTAATCAGTTACAATGAACCGTCCCCGGTTTTACGATATAATTTCACTCCAGAAGTAGTTCAGTGCCATTACTGACCGAATTTGTTCCGATAAAAAGAATATTGTAAGTAGATTATTCCATTTCAGACCCCAAACATACACGTACAAAACGCACTTACTAATTGGTCGCATTGGGATCTGCATCGTGAACTCGTGGGTCCACTGAACTGTAATTAGAATTAGTAAAATTAACCAAGAACTGTCCATAACAATAAGCCAAATGACTCCGTTGGCCCGGTGGCCTGGTGGCTAAAGCTCCCGCTTCACACACGAGGGCCCGGTACAAATACCCCGCGGGTGAAAAACATTTGACACGTTTCCTTACCCCTTTTTCCTGTTTCACCTAGCAGCAAAATAGGTACCTGGGTGTTAAGTGGATGGTGTGGGTGGCATCCTGGGGGACAAGATTAAGGCCCACAATGGAAATAAGATAGACAGTCCTCGATGACGCTCTGACTTTCTTGGTTATCCTGGTGGCACTAACCCTCCG